GAGATTGGACATTATAGATAGTATGTTGTAGCAACTCTGGGTACTGGTCCCTCTCCTCTGGGGCTTATTATTATTTGCTTGTGCATTGTTTTTGTGACCGGCTGGGTTATTTGGTTATTTCCGTGAAGAGTATCTGCTGCCCCACGCCCACACCGAGTGTTAAGCCTCTGATGTCCTGAGGGAGATGCGCCTCTGGGTACATGCACAGTCACCTGGGACCACACCCAGCTGTTAAACTCCAGTAATTGCCTGATGATTGCTCTACAGTTTTCAACAAGCCCCTGGGCATAAATTCCTCTACAAAGTAATCCAGTCAAGGTCTCTGACACAGTCTTTTCCAAGTCAGGCCTTTCCTGTTTGTTTCCACCCCAGTTTTCTTATCACTTGTTTCCCTCCTGTGAACCAGCTTCCAACTTAGCCTGTACTCGACACTCCTCCGGAGTGCCCCCCACCACCTCACTGTTCCTGAGAACTTGGGCTTCAACTTCTCCACAGTCTGTTGCAAACAGAGTCAGCTCCTTTGGGAAGAAATTAGGAGAGATCTGTTTTCCCGACTTGCTCATCACCCCCCCCATCCCCCCAATCTCTGAGCCATGGCTCTGGAACTGGGGTGAGGACAAGGGCAGACTTCTCTCTGTGTGACGCCCTGCTCCAGGAGCTCCACGGGAGGGGCACTAGCCTGGTGTCCTCTCAGCCGCCTCTCCTGGTGAGAACCACTGCCCCACAGCCAGGGAAGGTGCCCAGGGCCTCAGCACCCTCAGTGGTGCCAAGGTAGAGCCTCCACTCCAAGAGCTGGGCTGGGCAGGAGGGAGGCCCTGCTCTCAACCGGCCTCACCCACACTTGCCTCAGCAGCAGGCACTGGGCAGGTACAAACACCTAGGCCTGCAGCTCAGGGAAGGAAGCCCTTCCACGCGGAGCCGGGGGACAGGAAGCCTTCTGTTCTCAACTGCAGCCTCTGGCGCAGGGTCCCTGCGTCCCCGAGCTGAGTGGGGAGGAGGGAGTGGTCTTGGGTCAGATACCCCACTCTCCTTTCTTACCAAATTTTCCTAGATTTTCTTGGATAGATGCTTCTCTATTTGCTGCTTGCCTGCAGGACCATTCCCAGAGGTTGTAGGTATTGTTGTCTTTTTGTTTTTGCTGTTATAGTTCTCACCAGTTTCACTGGGAATGGGTTGTGGAGCGCCTCACACTGCCTTCATGTAAGTTACCCCGCAGGTAGTCTTGGTTTGGTTTTTTCAGTTTATTTGAACCTGGATCTCACTAAGGTCCACACACTGCCGTTGACTGCTGTGTGTCTTAGGGATTTGGTGTCTGGGTCTTGCTCCCTGCATCCTGGGTGTGGTTCACGTGTTCTGTGTCTGGAAGCTTGACCAAGGCCCTGGTGCCTCTGTGCCCGCCTCACATCTCTCAGGCTACCTGAGAAATGAGCAACAACTCCTCCCAAGATGCCTGGGCCTGCCGACAGCATCTCCCACCGGCCGCTCCGAGGCTCCCCGCCCTGCGGCTTCTCTGACCACACTGACCCTTCACACCACAGACTTGGACGCGTGAGGGAGTGAGTTCATGCCCATGGGGACGCCGGTGGACAAATCCTCTGCTCTCGGGTCTCCAGTGGGACGGAGCCTCAATTGCCCACAGTGGGAACCACTCCAATAATGCCCCCCTAGGGTGGGCTTTCCCTCTTCCCTTGTTTCACCCTCCCAGCCCCCCACTCCTGTCCCTTAGGATCATCTCTCAAAATAAACCACCTCCATGCAACCCCTTACCTCAGGCTCTGCCTTGATGTTTTGGCAAGACTATGTAATAGGTTGTGTGGTGAACGTCTATCAGGAAACAGCCAGTGTCTGGTTCACCCTTTTTGTCATGTCTGCAGACGCTGACATCAACACCTCGTTACCCAGAGGTGTAGTCCTTTCAGGAAAGGTAGGAGAAGTCCTTGACTTCCCCTTGATTTACCAGTTTTCAGAAGATGTCAATTCCTGACATCCTCCCAACGGTAGTCAATGAGGTTTTATTTTTAAAGAATGCCATGAGCTCATGGATGTCCATGTATTTCATGCGCTTCATTCATTGTAGTCCTTGTTCTCGGCGCCACTCAAGCGGTCCTGTTCGTGGCCAGCAGGACCTTCCTGAGGTGGCTCGTGACTCCCAGCTTGGCATCCTCAGTAACTTCCTTGATTTCAAAAACTAGTCCAGGCTTTCAGTAAAGTTATTGATTTAATAAATATGGTATGTACATTATGGGTTTATAGCAATACTTCTAATTCAAATTCAGGACTATGGGGTTTTAATTAACTTCAGTGATCCTAAACCTGTATCTTCTTTTCCCCAAGCCAAAAATTTTCAGTTCTCAACACTACTCAGATCATTTGGTACTTGGGACATTTGAGCTGTTCTCAGTAATTGGCTATTAAAAATTTCACTGAATAGTGAAACACCTTTAGGGTATTTTGAATTTTTGCCAATGTGAGTTCAGGATATATCCCCAGAAGTAGGACTGCTAGGTCAAAGGGTAACTGCAGAAGTGATCTTGTTAGGCATTGGTAAACTCCACTTCGTAGGTGGCTGCAGCGTTCAGCACCCCACTTACAACGTGTGAGAGCGTAAGCTACGTGTCCCCCACCCCCTGCAACAGGCTGTGCCGTCAAACCTTTGGGCTTTTGTCAACTGCACATGTAAGAAAGGGTCTGTGCATTTTTTTTTTTTTTTTTTTTTTGCGGTACGCGGGCCTCTCACTGTTGTGGCCTCTCCTGTTGCGGAGCACAGGCTCCGGATGCGCAGGCTCAGCGGCCATGGCTCACGGGCCCAGCCGCTCCGCGGCATGTGGGATCTTCCCGGACCGGGACACGAACCTGTGTCCCCTACATCGGCAGACGGACTCTCAACCACTGCGCCACCAGGGAAGCCGGGTCTGTGTATATTTATTTCTACTTCTCTTGCTATAAGGGCAATGAGGGGTCTGTTTCTGTTACTCAGATGTTCTGCTTTGGCTAAGGTTGTGTCAAGGCAACACAGAAAAGGCATTTGCGGAAAAGTGAACTGGGGGTGAAAACTCATACCTAATAATTTTTTATTTTTATAAATTTATTTTATTTACTTATTTTTGGCTGCATTGGGTCTTCATTGTTGTACGTGGGTTTCCTCTAGTTGCAGCGAGTGGGGGCTACTGTGTGTTGTGGTGCGGTGGCTTCTCTTGTTGCGGAGCACGGGCTCTAGGCATGTGGGCTTCAGTAGTTGTGGCACACAGGCTCAGTAGCTGTGGCTCCCGGGCTCTAGAGCGCAGGCTCAGTAGTTGTGGCGCATGGGCTTAGCTGCACCGTGGCATGTGGGATCTTCCCAGGCCAGGGCTTGAACCCGTGTCCCCTGCATTGGCAGGCAAATTCTTAACCACTGTGCCACCAGGGAAGCCCATTTTTTTATTTTAAATTTTATTTTATTTTTTGGCTGTGTCGGGTCTTAGCTGCGGCATTTGGGGTCTTCACTGAGGCACGTGGGACCTTTCCGTTGAGGTGCAGAGGCTCTTCGTTGTGATGCGCAGGCTTTTCTCTGGTTGTAGTGTGGGGGTTTTTTTTCCTCTCTACTTAAGGCACATGGGCTCCAGGGCGTGTGGGCTCCGTAGTTTGTGGTGCACAAGCTCAGTAGTTGTGGCATGTGGGCTTAGTTGCCCCACAGCATGTGGGATCTTAGTTCCCCGACCAGGAATTGAACCCACATCCCCTGCACTGGAAGGCGGATTCTTTACCACTGGACCACTAGGGAAGTCCCTCTTTTTTTCCTAATAATTTATTTTAAAGTTAAAGTGGTCCTAGATCATAGCTCCCCAGTCACATGACAGAAGCAAATACTAATTTTTTCAGGAAGAACCCAGACATGTTAGAGAAACTCCAGAGGTAAAATTCCAAGAAATACAAACTCACAGCCAAAAATCACAGAATTCATCAGGAAACAAGGCACCATGAGTGAGTCAACAGAAAAAATTGACAGAAAAATCAGACCCACAGAGTCTTCAAACATTGATATTAGCAATCAGAGAACGTACAATAAGTTTAACATGTTAAAAAAGAAAAGAATGAGTTGAAAACGTGATAAACAAAAGTTATAAAGTCCAGCAAATTAGAAAAACAACATAGAACTTAAAGAATTGAAAATTGTAACTATGGAAATTAAACACTGAATGAGTTCAACAGCACATTTGATACAGCTGATCAGAAAATTAGTGAACTGAAAAGTGGATCTTAAGAAATTATCCAGAATGTATCAAAGACAGATAAGGAACGGGAAATACGGAAGGGCTGTTAGAAGACGGAGGGCGTCTGACGTACATTTGGTTGGGGTTTTAGAAGGAGAAGGAACAGAGATTGGAGTAAAGACAATATTTGAAAAGATAAAATCCAGATTCAAAACATTCAACAATGAGCAGGTAGGGTGATGAGTACCTTCCCCTGACATCTTAGTGGAACCACAACAGACAAAGAGGAGACAAGTAATCTTCCAAAGAACAACTTCAAACTGACACCCACCAGCCCCGACCCGTGTCTGCAGAGCTGTGCGCAGGGCTTGGCGGGGGCGGTCGCAGGCCGGCAACCGCTGCTGCCACCAGACTGGAGCCCAGAGTGGGAGCAGCCGGGCGAGATGGGCCGAGCGGGGCCTCGGGCGGGCACGGCAGCACCGGGCACCGCAGGGGGACAGCTGGCTGGTGCGTCCCCACTCCCCAGGTCCAGCCCGGGGGGCCCTGATGTCATCAAATCGGAGCTAAGCCAGCTGCCGGCCTAGGTCTGCGCTCCGCCCTCCCCGGCCCGGGTCCCTCCCAGCTCCCCAGCCCCACCCGAGGCTTCTGCTCACCTTGCCAAGCGCGGGAGCGAGGACCACAGGCATCTCCCTTGAAGCCCTGATGAGCTGCGCAAGCCAGTCACCCCCTCTGAGAAGCGGCCGCTGGAAACAAAGTCCTCACCAGTAACTGCTGCTATCTCCCTCCCCCCAACACAGAACGTCGACCAGAGACCGTTAATGATAACCATTTACTCCACGTGTTTCACAAGGACGTTGGGGGACGGGGGCTGCTCCCCACACCCCAGTCACCGCACGAGAGGGCCCTTCCCGGAATCCGCGGCTCCCCCACCGCTTCCCACATAGCCACCGGCCTCGTTCAGTCGGTCACAGGCCCGCGACATGGAGGGTGGCACGGGCCAGGGTCCTGGGGCCCCCGTGGCGGGGAGGAAAAGCCCGGCAACACCGCCACAGGGCCGCAGAGGAACCGCCGTTACTGGTGCTTATTTCTCTTCTTGGTCCGTTTAAATCCTCGTGAGGCACCTTGACCAAAACAGATGGTAGATGGTATCCTGAAATGAAAGACACCTTCACGCTAAACTGCTATGCTTTTGCTCACAAACAACCCAATTCATGCTGGCAGTCTCGTGGGCTCGCGGGGGTCTGATTCTTGCTCTGGACACTCCCTCTTCCCCCGCGAACCGTGCAGGGTGTCCGCTGGCTCTCACCCGGACTCTCCCCTCCCCGGCTGCAGCAGGCCAGCTGCTCCAAACCTGCTTCCGGTGGGAGACGCTCCCCGCCACTGACTACCTGCCGCCGACCACCTACTGCCAACCACCCACCCCGGAGAATGTGTCCGGGCTCCAGCTCAGGCTCCCTGTGACCCGCCCTCCAGGTGGCACCTGGGACTCACTCTCAGGCCAAATTCTGGGCAACTGTGCGAGGGCAGCTGAAGGACACGAGTTCATCTCCCTGTCGGTTTGAATTTATGGGCGATTTCTTCCATTTCTCCAACATTTACCCCCAAATTAGATTTGAAATCAACTTTATCCCCTATAAAAGCACAGTTAACACTAGAAACACAGCCTCGTAGCTTGTAACTCGAGCAATCACACCCTGGGTCTCTCCACCCCAGCTTAGGCCGTGGTCAAAGGGGCCAGTGCTTTGCAGTCCTGTGCTGCTGGGGCCCCAGGTCGTCCGAGGGCAGCAGGATGGTTGGCTTTCACCTCCCGCTGAAGTCAACGCTCCAACCCAGGGGCGGTTTCTCTCAGCGGGAACTGGGCCGGCCCAGAGTCAAACCCAGAATTCTCCAGGAGAAGCACAGATTCAGAACCTGCTTCAGAAAGGTGCCCGGGTACTGACCTGTGGCTGTAGGCCCGCCTCTCTCCCGCGGGTGCTGGTGGGGGCTCCACGTGTTCAGAGCAGACTTCCATGGCGTCGCCTTCCGACGGCACCCCGTCATCCCCCAGGGCTTCTGCCAACACCTGCTCAGCGGCACCGGGCATGACTGGGCTGGGGAAGACAGGTGGTGAGGACGCTCCCGGGTGTCAGTGCCTGCAGCCCCCGCTTCCCCCAGGACTGAATTCGCAAAGCTATTTTATGACTGTTTTATCAGAGAGTAATTTTCAGGCTGCCAGAATGTGGAGAAGTGAATGTTCATATGACGTAAGCCATATTCTATGAATTTAGGTATGATGGTCACACTCCGTCTTTTAAAAATAGTATTTTTATGGTGTCACACGGTAAATGACTACCAACGGTACCAAACGTCTTTCCATTACAATTACTGAGAAATTTACTAAAAGCAACCATACAATACTGAGCGTCTCCTTCTTAACACCAGTGTCTCAATCCAGCATCGTAGGGTTTTTCTCCTTCAAACGATTCCTTGGAAAGGAAGGAGCTACCTTATACTCAAGGCCTTATAAAAATCTCCCATATTGAAGTCAGTTCTCCCGATTATTCTACTGTCAACAGTAAAGTTCTCTCTGGGGACAACAATTTAGTCTGAAACGACTTCAATCAATGCAACTTTTAGATGGTGATGAAGCTTCACCTGAGGAAATCGGTTAATGAAAAGGCAAAGTAACGTAACACGCACTTACGGGCTACTCCCAGAGGTACTTCCCACAGTGCGTTCTGAACAGTAACATGTAACATGTGGCTGTGCCGTCAAGTTTGTAAACACATACTGACGGGAAAAGGGAAAAACCGACGGCCCCACGTGAGGTGAGGGGCTCACGGCCTGGGACAAATTCCCCAAGGCCCACATGAGGATGGAAGGGAGGTGATGAGCGGGGTGGAGATGAAACGTGAATGTAGAGGGGCGTGGTGGTGTTCCTGCACGCCCGGCAGACCCCAAGATGGTACCCCAGCCACTCCCAGCACAGGCCCGGGGAAGGCAGGCTCTCCCCTTCCCGTCCTCCCTGCAGCCGGCGGGGCCACACACAGAACCACCCCATCTGCTTAACCCCTCTCGGTTAAGGACTCCCGATTTGTCAGGGCTTCTGTAACCTGCAGCTAAATGTAACGTTGGCGGCAGGGATACTGAACGAGGGCATCTGCACCCTCAAAGTCTATGCACGCAAAGGCTTTCTAGGCTCGGGAGGCGGCTCCGCGGCGCACCGCCACGCACCCTCTGCTTTTCCTTGGTTTATCGAAGCGGAAGTCCGCAGGGTAGAGATGACGCATCACCAGGTGCTCCTTCCGGTCTCTGCTGGTTCTGAACTTCTCTGTGCAGCCCTCCACCAGGCACTGATACTGAAATGGAAACAGCATCACCCCACCCTGACCCCAGGGCTGCCCATCTCACCGCGCTCTGACCCCAGGCTCTGGCACCACGAGGCACACGGCTCAGGGACGAGCCCCTGTGATGCCTGCCCTTGGCCTCAGCGGGCGAGCCGTCACCCACCATGTCCTGCCGCTCGGCCAGAATCTGGAAGAGGGAGTCGTGCCACTCCAGGATGTGGGTGTCCAGCAGGTGTCCAGAAGGGAAGGCCCGCTTGCAGAAGGAGCAGACGTTTCTGTGCAGAGTGTGGTAGTGGTGCTCGTAATCCTCCAGGGCGTCGAACACCTGGCAGCAGCCGGCCACCTGACACGTGAACTCAGGTACCCTGGCAGAGGAACGCCTGGTGGGGATGCCATTCCACAGCGGACAGAACGTCGGGCTCCCTGTCACCACTCCCCTTTAAGTGGACTGATAAAGCTTCGGATTTTCTCTTGCAAGCCCAAATCCTACTTTCACAACAATTACATTTTTACAGACAAGCTAGGCGGTGGTGAGGCCAGACACGCAGGCTTCCGTGGTGGTACAGGCAGAGTAGCGGGGCGGGCACCAGGGGCGGGGCGGGCAGAGGGAGGGGCCCGGAGAGGGCAAGAAGGGCCCCTTACTGGGCCACAGCACTAACCTGGGCCTCTCGGGCGCCCCGCCCACCTGCGTGAGCACATCCTGGAGGTAGAGGTGCCGCTGCACGTCCCCTTCCTGCGGGAGACAGCGTCCTGGGTTCTGACCCGGCTCCACCCCGGGCCCCGCCCCTAGGACCCCGGCCCCACCCAGAGCCTCAGCCCCGCCCACCGGGAGTCTGCCCCCGCCCCACCCAGGCCCGGCCCACCCAGGCCCCGCCCCAAGCATTTCCCCCCGCCCCATCCAAGCCCTGCCCCCAGGGCGCCGGCTCCGCCCCCACCCACAACCGCTCTCTCCTTCCTCGGGTCACGCACCTCAAAGAAGTCGTGCTCCCGTGGGAAGCGCACCGGGCGCGGCGCGAAGCGGAAGGGCGCGGTCCTGGCCGCGGGGTCCCGCTCCACGGGTAGAGGCTCGGCCGACCCGGGTGCCCCCGCCAGGCGTGCGTGCAGCGCGGGTGGCAGCTGCATCGCCCTGAGCGCCAGCGGCGCCACGGCCTGTCGGCCACCGTCCGCCAGCCGGCCGGGGCGGGGCCGGACGTGACGTAGAGCGCCACTTCCGCCGCCGGCGGGGCTGCCCTGCGGGCTTGACGGGCTTGGCGGGCTCGGGCCGGGCGCGCCCCTGCGGTGAGTCCCGGGGCGGCTTCTATGCGGAGCTGGCCTCGCGCGTCCAGCCGATGGTTTGGGTCCCTTTCCCGGCCCCGAGCAGCACAGGCTCCTGGCTGTAGAGGCTCCCTCCCTCCCTCCTCCCTCCCGTCCTCGTTGCGATCACCCTCGGCCCCCCTCCCACACACACCCGCCTTGTCTCCCACCTGAAGGGCTACCGCGGCCTCTGGACCATCCTTGTCTCCAGACCAGTTCGCAGACTGGAGCCCGAGTGGTCTTTGGGAAATTCGCGATTTGTTGTGCCGGTCCCGCGGCCCACGGCAGCTCACACTCAATCACCGGGGTCTGTGGGCCCGTTGGTGGCGACCAGTAGGGTGAAACCCAAGGGAGCATTAAAAAGATCAGCCGAGCTGGGGAGGTGCTACCTGCAGGTGAGAGCCACAGATCTTGCAGGAATGGTTCCCCACATCCGCGTGGAACAGCAGGCTCCTTGTAGTATTAATACTTGTGATGTGGAATGTCTGCGCTTGTTTCTACCACAGATGTCAAGGTTCACGAAGATAGTTTCTAAATAAGCATTTACTTAAATGATCTTTCTTCTGAAGAGCCCTGTCCACCCACTTGTGACTGGTGGAGAGATGGCAAATGCAGTGTCCATGCCGCCTAGGTGGCCAAAGTGGTCCTCAGTCCAGCTGTTAGAGAACACCCCGCGGTCCTTGGAAACCTCGTAGAATGTGGGTAAAAGCAGTTGCCCTTGGAATGGAAGAGGCCATCAGTGGGAGAGCTCCGTGCTGTCTTTTCTGTTTGTAGTTCGCAGTGCCTCATTCAGCCGCTCTGTGACTAATTAGAAGGTGATAGTTGAGGATGCTGGCAGTGGTTCAGTTCCAGTTTTCCATTTCTCGGGTAACAGCGGGTGTTTCCAGGTGGTTGGCCACGTGTAGCAATAGCAAAGTTTGTTTCTGCTTTTCTGATAACAACAGTGCAGGCCCTTAGGTGCTATATTTAATCTCCACAACAGCTTCGTGGGCAGGGTCTAGTACTCGCCCCTTTTCAGAGAAAGCTTACAGAGGACAGGTTCCTTGTCCAGGGCCCTACAGCCTGGAAGCACCAAGTCAGGGCTCAGGCTGCCTGGGATCCCGCAGCCCAGGCCCCGTGCCCATGACTGTGGTCACCGTGAGCGCCTCCTGGTGTAAAATGTGTGCATGCTGGCGAGTTCCACACCAGCTCACACTTAACTGTTCTGCTTTCGTGTTTGGAGACACCCTGCCTCTGGCCGGTATTTGACGTTTACGTAGGTGACTGTGATATTTGTATGTGGGGAACTTGTTTTCCATCACTCAGGATTAGAGTCTCTGGATGTAGAGGTACAAATTAATATCCACTTTGTGGGCGTGTGTGCCAAACCTTCCCCACCTGCTATTAACTCATGGCTTGTCTTCACTGGAGCTGTTGACACAGCCGTTCTAAGCTTTTTAGGGTCACAGCCTTTGAGAATCTGTTGAAAGACCCTTTCCTCAGAAAAATCACATACAGAAATGACTTTGCCTGTAATTTCCAAGTCTTTTGTTGTTCATGATCCCAAATTATGAACCCTGCGTAGCCACGTTGAAACGTTTATGTGAAGCGTGTAAAGTTTGCTCGTGTTTATTTGTTGAATCTATGACTAATTGCCCGTGTTTGTCTGTCTTACTCTTAATAATAATGGCTAATTGGACCAGTCATCAGTGGGAGAACAGAAGTCCCCCTGCAGGCCACTACTGTCCCTTTGGGGACATCTGCATAGAGGTCCCCTTGCAGGCTACCACTGTCTTCTTGATGGGATCTCATTTATGGTTTTGACCATAAATGAGATCCAGTGGGGAGACCCTAGAACATCTGATGGACAGGGCAGATTGAGCTGAAGGGGAAGCCCACCCAGCTCAAGTACATAGGAGATGTGTAGCAGTCTTAGCAAAGCCCAGCCTGGGTGAGAAAAGGCAGCATCCTGGTTACCAGAGTGCACAGAGAACACACAGCTGGAGGCAGCTGGAGCTGTAGGTGTGGACCTCACAGGGGGAGCCGCAAGGGGCGGTGGCTTAGGCCTGTGCAGAGCTCCCTGTATAGATCGGGGTCCCTGGAGGGCTGGGATCACTGTATCTGCACAGCTGGGACTAGAAAGTGCTGTCTGCCACCTGAGGGGAGCAGCTCCCTGCTGGCCCAGGGCCACGTGTGGTTGGGGTCACCCAGGAGGAATGGGGGCCCGGGCCTTAGGGCCACGTCCACTCTGTGTGCACGTGCCAGCCCCCCCGAGCTGAGGAGTGAGCCTGGAACCTGGCTGGAGCTGCTGGGGCTCACCACTGATTCCCATGGGAGCTGCCCACTGAGACAGCGCCCAGTGAGAATGACAGACCCCAGCAGCGGGCGAGGAGGGCGAGTCTCCCCAGGAAGGGGCCCCACATGCTGGTCGGAGCAGGCTGTGGTGGTGTCTTCATGGGGAACCTTCAGGCCAGGATGGGCTCTGTGACAATTTGGCTTCTCAAAGACCTGACATTGGCCAATTCAATTGCTTTAAAACTTTTTAACTTATAGCCTCTTGATTTATAAAGGGCTCTCCTCTTACCTTTAGGAGAACACAGAGCCAAAATCATGAGTGAATTTCGAATTCACCACGATGTCAATGAGCTGCTCAGCCTGCTGCGAGTGCACGGAGGGGACGGGGCCGAGGTCTACATCGACCTGCTGCAGAAGAATAGGACCCCGTATGTCACAACCACTGTGTCTGCACACAGTGCCAAAGTGAGTGCCTGTCCCCGGTGCTGCACTGGGCACAAAGTTCACCTTCTGACGAGCAGCCACAGCGGTGCCGGTACGCTGGCAGACAACACTGTCAGATGCTTTTCATGGGCCACGTTCTCTGCTCCGCTCTGCTTCCGTTGGTTTCTCCCCATCACCCGTTGCACAGATGAGTAAATGAAGGCTCGGGGAGAGTGTTGGACTGGCAGCCTGACCTGGGAACCCAGACTCTCAGCCACGCCCTCCCTGTGCCCCATAAGGAGGGAGGCCCAGATGGTCCTGATTTCTGTTCACATCGTGACACAGATTCTCCTATGGGTGAAAAAGGAAGCTCCTGGCGTTAGCCACAGTGAAATCCCTTCAAAGTGGATTTTTTTAAATTCAAATAATGTAAAATTCAAAGTTATAGGTTTTCAGTAAAAGACAATTTAGAAGTCTATTTTAAAAACACATTATGAGGCTTCATTTATTTTAACAGCTTAATGATGGCACAAGGATAATTCAGAAAACTTACTGAGCAGAATAGAGAGTTTAGGATACGTAGTTATGTCCAATTTATTTTAAGGGGAGCATTTTAATCAGTGAGAAAACGTAGCCCCTGAATGTGTGTGTAATAATGATTCCAGAAGGAAAAGAGTTAAGTGCATGGAAAGAATGCATATACACTATTAGGAAAAACATAGGTGGTTATGGTCTGACCTAAGGCTTAGGAAGTATAACGTGGAAGAAACCACAGAAGAGAATATGGGTGAGTTTAACAAAGCATCCTGATGAGTTTTCTTCGTTTTAGGTTAGAGACACGTGACTATTCCATCTGCCTAACTTCACTCTTCTTTTGGGTTTAGTTTTTGCAAGGCTTTTTAAAGTTCCTAGTTATCGTCTCTAAATCATTCTGTCTGTGCTTTTGAGGTTAAAATAGCAGAATTTTCTCGTACTCCTGAGGACTTTCTGAAGAAATATGATGAGCTGAAATCTAAGAACACGAGGAACCTTGACCCCCTGGTGTACCTGCTGTCGAAGCTCACAGAGGACAGGGAGGTGGGTGCCGGGCTCGGGGGTGGCTGTGTGAGGAGGAGAGCCTCTCTGCGTCTGCGGGGATGATGGACGGCTGTCCCGCCTGGCGGCCCCCCGTTAACCACCCCGGCTTCACACCTGTAGCACTGAGGTGCACGCCCCCGAACGGAAGCAACGTGGTGGAGATGAGCACAGCGCTAGCAGCGGCCTCTGGGGCAGAGGGCCTTTGACCTTCATTGTCCAGGCCGTGCTCTTGTCTGTGCTAAACTGAGCCTGTGTTATCTGTGATACTGAGGGAAGTGCGTGCCATCTGAGGAGCCCCGGCCCAGGGCATCCAGGGCTGGTTGGCGCTTCCTTTTGCATCACGAGGCCCAGGGTCCGTTCAGCGGGGAAGCATGTGGCCGGGCGCGTGGTGGCCACCGCGCCGGGACAGATAAAGGGGCGTGGTCTCGAGCAGCAAGGGAGGCCGGTCTCGTGGAGAAAAGGCTGAGCCACTGGGAACAGGGTCTGGGATCCCGACCTGCCGTGATCTTGGGGCATGGTGCCTCGTGGCGGGCAGCGTCGGGAGAGCAGGCTGCCGCTCCAGGACGAGCGGGGCCTCTACTCTCGGCCTCCGCGTGGAGGCTGCAGCTGGGGTCAGTGGGGCGGGGCGGCAGTGCCTGGCGGAGGGCCCGAGCGTGAGGCCCGTGTGACGCCGGGGCCGTGTGCTTCCAGACCCTGCAGTATTTACAGCAGAATGCCAAGGACAGAGCGGAGCTCGTGGCCGGCGCCCCCGCCGCAGCCTCCAGGATCTCCGTGCAGGAGCTGGAGGAGCTGAGGAAGCAGCTGGGCAGCGTGGCCACGGGCCCCACGTGGCAGCAGGTACCGTGTGGCAGAGGCGTCTGGGTGTGGATTCTGGCCCGGCAGGGGCCTGGCTCTGGGACACGAGCTCCGGGCGCCGGGCGGGGGGTTCTGACTCACCGGGGGTCAGCTCCTGCTGCCTGCCTGTTCTGTAGGCTTGGCCGGTGCAAGTCCCGGCTCCCCTCACTGACGCCGGGCAATTGGTTTGAGGTGATGCTTTATCTCCCTCACCTGCCGCTCTTCTTGCCTTTGACTTTGCGTCCAGCCCTGGTCTCCTGCCGTCCTTCTGTGTTCCCACAGT